CGGCGGAAGTTGGCCGCCGACGGGTAATCGTTCTCCTGCTCGGCGATGTCCTCGAACGCCAGGTTGACGATGCCTTGAAACTGGTGAGGGGGGGGCTCGGCCGGAGGGGCGACCCCTCGTGGGATCTCGGCCTCGGATCGCTCGTCCTCCGTGTCCTCGTCCGAGGACGACGGCGGGTGGCCGGGCAGGTCCTTCGCCGTGACGGCCGCCTCCTCCTCCACAGGCCCGGCCTGCTGCCGCGCCCAGGCCCTCGCCCTGCTCTTCCCAGCGTCCTCCTCGCTGGTGGAGTGGGCGTGGAAGGGGTCGGCCGCCTCCCGGCCGCGGAGCCTCACCTCGACGCGCAGGCCGCTGTCGTACATCTTCAGCTCCTCCGGGGTGCTCGTGTCGCTGCTGCTCCGGCCCAGGAAGTCGTGGCACAGCATGGTGCTGCACTTGGAGACGCCCCTGTCGTTGGAGCCGTCGTCATCCTGCGAGCCCCCCGCGTCGTAGTCCTCCGACCGGGGCTTGATGTCGTCGGAGGACGTAGTGGCGCTGCCCGATTCCGACTCGGGGCTGCCCCTCTGGTGCAGGGCACCCCACGGGTCCTCCAGGGGCGCCTCGGAGTCCTCCCGGCTCCCGGGCGTCTCCGCCCCGTCCATGTCCTTCGACGCGCCCTCGGGAGAGCCCGGCGGCTTCGCACTCCGCCCAGGGGGCTCTGCCGCAGCGTTTGTGGCCTCATTCTGGACCCTGGATTCCTTCCGGGGGATCTCGGCACTTGTCGCAGAGCCTGCCTCTGCCGGAAGGGAAGGAGCGCCCCCAAGATTTTTGGCAGCGGTCGTGCCGTCTTCAGCTGGCAGTTCCCTCTCTGGCCGTTCTGCAGCAGCACCGATAGAGGCCGTCGAGTCTCGAAACTGTAACGGTGACTCACATCCAGCCCGAGCGGGCGGTCTCCTGGGAGCGGAGGAGGAAAGGCCTCTGGTTGTCGCCAGAGCTCTGGGCACAGGACCGTTTTCCTTCTTTCCGGCGAAAACAGGCCGCACCGTTTCCAGGGCCCTGCCCGCCAGCTCCGGCTCCCCCTCCCCCCGAGACGCCTCCGCGTGACGTCTCCGCGGCGCCTGCTCTCTGTCTCCCGCGGACGCGCCGTCCTTGGGCCCGGCAGCCTTCGAAGACGGGCTCTTGTGGTGAGGCGACTCCTTCGTTTTAGCCACGTGTTTTTTGCCGCCGGAGGGAGACGGCTTCTCTGATCCCGCTGGTGCGGAAGCCTGCTTCAACGCCGGCTGTTCAGAAGCTGCTTTCTGCTTTGGTGCACTTTTGCCTCCGGCAGGGGGCTGCTTTGGGCCTGCAGAGGCGGCCTTGGCGGACTTGCTGGTTCTGGCCTCGGTGCAGGCAGAGCTCGCCGGCTTCAAGGCCTTTCTCTTTGCTGCTGCGGGGGAGGCTTCTCCGGCAGACCGGGGCCTTGTGGGAGCCCTGGCGTCCTCCTTTCTCGGGGAGACGGCTTTCAGCGGACTTACCGGCGCCGGGGAGCTTTTCGGCCCTAAATCACACCAACAAAACACAAGCATTGCTTTTGACTTTCGGTAACACAGGATTGTATGCTGTGTGCCCACAGGACTTATAGACAAAGAGAAATAGCATAAGAATGCCTATTAGTCCTGTCTTTGAATGTTCTTGCAGCACCAAGCACACCAGAGCAAATTCCTCATACAATACGGGTGATTCTGATCTGAGATACACTGAACGTGAACAGTCGCTTCGCCACTCCTCCACTGGAAGATTAAAACGGCAGTAACATTTTAACTTGCGCTCAGGTCACCTTTTAAATAATAAAATGAAAGGGCCGAGCAGAACGGGGAAGCGGTTTGGTTTCGGACGGAGGACCAATGAAACAAAACCAGCACTGAGATAATACTACGCAGATTTATTGCATGTCGGCAGGGAAAAGGCCTATTGCGATTCCCAATCCTCCAGACAGCATTCCGACTGTTTCGCACACAGAGCTGCAGACACTATCCGAAGACAACAGACCACAGACGTTTTCACGGTATTCCCTCGCCACACCTCCTAAACCCTCCTAAGAAAGGCATGTTCGCACTCTCCCTGTGAAGAGCAGTTTCCGGGTCAGAAGGCCGGAACAGGGAAAGCATCTGTCTGAGAAGGGGCGGACGTGGAGAGCCGGGGTGCTAGGAGGTCAGCGCAGGCGGGTCCGTGACGTCGAGTGTCGAAGCAGCGACGGCCGGCCGCCTCTCCCGGCGGATCTTACCGTTGCACCCCTCCGCGGGGGCAGGCTTCACCCTCTGGTCCGCGTGGGCCCCGGGACCGCCGGCTGCGGCTCTGCTCGGGCCGGGGGGCTTGGCCGCGCCGCTGTCCCTCGCGCTCGGCTTGCCGCCAACACTGGAACCAGTTCACAACACGGCGGGTCAGCAGGGACGCCACCGCCCGAGCCACCAGACCCCCCGAGAGCTCAGGCTGCTGCAGCCCACGACCTGAGCGCCAACAGGCCGATACCAGCCGGAGAGGGGGGTCTTGTTTTGGGGCACACAATACATTCCCTGCTCCTCGTCCGAGACGGACAGCTTTCCCAGAACCGAGCAGAGTGGCTTGTCTGCCTTCCAGCTGTCAGTTTATACATCAAGGGTCCTGCTGGATAATTAACACTTCCACCTTACGGACTGTAGATCAATTAAAGCAAATAACATGGGCCTCTGGCACATGGTGGAAGGTATTTATATATAAAGGTATATATTCTGGATTACAGCAGGGACGACTCGTACAGTTCCAAGAAAAAGTACACGCCCCTTTTCAGATCTTCTAACTTTTTGCACATTTTCGCCGCTGAATGTTATCCGAGCACCACGTGGGGCCTTGTGACATATACAGGGAATCTGAGTGGACAAACACCAACAACGTTTCGTTTACTTCTTAAGCAAGGTCCCCCAATATCCAAATGTTCTGCGCGAGTCAACATGACAAAATTCTCCCCGTCCAACCCGAGTGTTCACCAGCTCTCCACAGGGGGGCAGTATAGGCAGCGGCACGGGGAATTCCCTCACCTGTGGGGCTTGGCGGGCTCAGGCCTGTGAGTCCGGCTGGCTGGGGGTCTGCCGGCTGTCCTGCTCGCGCCCTTCGGCCTGTTCTCCGCTGCCGAGAGAGAGGAGAGTGAGGGGAAGCCGTTCAGCAGCACGACACCATACCCAAGCAGAATTACCCTCTGTGGGCGGGCTAAGAAAAGACACTTACAGACATTTGAATAGGCTAATGGTTTGAATGTATTTGTATACCGTGTACTGCTTTATCCTGCATAGAACCTTAACAAACTCAATAATAATCGCACAATATTTAATGGCAAATCAACTCTAGGGAAGCACGACAGAGCAACTGCCTCGCAGCTCAGCGATCCTGGGTTCAACTGAGGCACCTGTCTGTGTGGAGCCTGCACGTTCTCACTGCAGTTGCTTTGCTTTCCACCCACAGACCTGCCTGCTAAGGCTGCCCAGCTATTACATACATGGCGCCTGTCGCCCAGGCTCTGGCACAGAGACCAGCCCCCCACCCGAGGGGAAGCAGTCATCCCAGTCCTGCCCTGCTCCCCGCGCGTCTGGGAGAAACGGGCGAAGACGGGAACCGGCTGGAATTCAGCTCCCCTTCCCGCAGCTGCTGCTGCTGCTACTGGCAGGGCCGCCGGAACAAGCCTGAGAGCCAGGCCCCTCCTGGAGGAGGAGCGGAACAGACCGGGTCCGAGGGACAGGGGGCGCCACTCCCAGACCACGCAGACCGCTACAGCAGGCCGACCGGGCTGCCAGCTGTGCTTCCTGGAAGCTAAGACCGCTTCTTAAATCAAGTCCTTCCTCCCTAATCCTGTAATAAAGGACCTGTGCCAATCAGAAGGCATTATCGACGGCATCAATAACGTCTGAGGCTCTATACTAATAAACAGATAATGAGACTGCGCAGTCTAGAATTCAAAATCAGTGCATCTCTCTCTGCTAGTGAGGGTTCTTATTAAACATCAACCTGAGCACAAAAGATCTATCCATCAGACGTGCTGAGATAATAAGATAGAATGTTTTCATGTTTCAATTACACTCTTTAACGAGCGAGCGGCACAGCACGGGCCACCCCCCGCCCTCATCAACGCGTCACTGCCTCCTCCCACGCGCAGCTCCAGACGGCGAGCTCCGGACTCCGGGGACGCCGCGCTGTAACCACACGCTTCTATCAGGGGCCCAGGCGGCCACGTGAGACACAGGCAGGAAAAACAGAGGGCTAAGACCAGGCAGGAGAGCCTCAGCTGATAAAGGGGCTCGCCCAGGTGCAGGCCAAGCCCGGGTTCGAGTCCGGGACATGTCCCCAGCCGACTGTTACTGGGATCCACCAAGCTGTAGCTGGACAGGGCTCTCTGTGGCAGGCCTGCAAGGGAGTGTGCCTCTCCTGCAATCTGCACTGTGCCTCCAGCAGGGGGCAGTGTGGCCCGTGATGCTCTACACTCCAGCCGGCCTGAAGGGGGAAGGGCTGGAGGAGCCCAGACGTGAGGAAACAGGCCATTCTGAATCAGCTGGGTAAATAAAAAAACAATAACTGGCAATTCTGAATTTAAAAAGAGGAGTTGGGAGTAGAATGGAGCAGAGGGGAGGCTTTTATGCAAAAGCCACACTCTTGTATGTAGCTTTCTTACAGAGTCAGGCTGAATGAACATTCCCCTGCATTATCACAGACCTTTAGGCCAGAGAGCCGAGACACTGCGCGTGTGAATGAGAGACTCTGTTCCATGTCTTCGGCTCCCACACTGCAACTTCATCAAGGTTTGGCAAGTAAGAGTAACGCAAGGA